TTTTTTTTTTTTTTTTTTTTTTTTTTTTTTTTTTTTTTTTTTTTTTTTTTTTTTTTTTTTTTTTTTTTTTTTTTTTTTTTTTTTTTTTTTTTTTTTTTTTTTTTTTTTTTTTTTTTTTTTTTTTTTTTTTTTTTTTTTTTTTTTTTTTTTTTTTTTTTTTTTTTTTTTTTTTTTTTTTTTTTTTTTTTTTTTTTTTTTTTTTTTTTTTTTTTTTTTTTTTTTTTTTTTTTTTTTTTTTTTTTTTTTTTTTTTTTTTTTTTTTTTTTTTTTTTTTTTTTTTTTTTTTTTTTTTTTTTTTTTTTTTTTTTTTTTTTTTTTTTTTTTTTTTTTTTTTTTTTTTTTTTTTTTTTTTTTTTTTTTTTTTTTTTTTTTTTTTTTTTTTTTTTTTTTTTTTTTTTTTTTTTTTTTTTTTTTTTTTTTTTTTTTTTTTTTTTTTTTTTTTTTTTTTTTTTTTTTTTTTTTTTTTTTTTTTTTTTTTTTTTTTTTTTTTTTTTTTTTTTTTTTTTTTTTTTTTTTTTTTTTTTTTTTTTTTTTTTTTTTTTTTTTTTTTTTTTTTTTTTTTTTTTTTTTTTTTTTTTTTTTTTTTTTTTTTTTTTTTTTTTTTTTTTTTTTTTTTTTTTTTTTTTTTTTTTTTTTTTTTTTTTTTTTTTTTTTTTTTTTTTTTTTTTTTTTTTTTTTTTTTTTTTTTTTTTTTTTTTTTTTTTTTTTTTTTTTTTTTTTTTTTTTTTTTTTTTTTTTTTTTTTTTTTTTTTTTTTTTTTTTTTTTTTTTTTTTTTTTTTTTTTTTTTTTTTTTTTTTTTTTTTTTTTTTTTTTTTTTTTTTTTTTTTTTTTTTTTTTTTTTTTTTTTTTTTTTTTTTTTTTTTTTTTTTTTTTTTTTTTTTTTTTTTTTTTTTTTTTTTTTTTTTTTTTTTTTTTTTTTTTTTTTTTTTTTTTTTTTTTTTTTTTTTTTTTTTTTTTTTTTTTTTTTTTTTTTTTTTTTTTTTTTTTTTTTTTTTTTTTTTTTTTTTTTTTTTTTTTTTTTTTTTTTTTTTTTTTTTTTTTTTTTTTTTTTTTTTTTTTTTTTTTTTTTTTTTTTTTTTTTTTTTTTTTTTTTTTTTTTTTTTTTTTTTTTTTTTTTTTTTTTTTTTTTTTTTTTTTTTTTTTTTTTTTTTTTTTTTTTTTTTTTTTTTTTTTTTTTTTTTTTTTTTTTTTTTTTTTTTTTTTTTTTTTTTTTTTTTTTTTTTTTTTTTTTTTTTTTTTTTTTTTTTTTTTTTTTTTTTTTTTTTTTTTTTTTTTTTTTTTTTTTTTTTTTTTTTTTTTTTTTTTTTTTTTTTTTTTTTTTTTTTTTTTTTTTTTTTTTTTTTTTTTTTTTTTTTTTTTTTTTTTTTTTTTTTTTTTTTTTTTTTTTTTTTTTTTTTTTTTTTTTTTTTTTTTTTTTTTTTTTTTTTTTTTTTTTTTTTTTTTTTTTTTTTTTTTTTTTTTATATAGATTTTCACATCATAGGCCAACACTTTCCCAAGTTATAATTGAGGTTGTCATTTTCAGTGATGGTGGCAACACAAGAAGAAATGGAGTCAGCCAAGCTTCCCTTGAAAAACCGGGATTATTGTGCTCACAAAGCCATTGCGTACCAAGCCTGCCGCCAGAAGGTGTGGCCATTCGTGTACCAGTGTGCCCACGAAAAACACGACTACCTCAATTGTCAATATGATGAGTAAGTACAACTTGCATTCCATTTGCCTTTTAGCACCTTCTTGTTTTCAAAGAAAAATCTACTATGTTATATAAAAGCCATATTTAAGTCATTTTTACTCTCCTTATCAGTAATGTAGAACAATGAAAAAAAAAAATGCTTCTTAGTCAAAGTTATACACAGACCTATTATCAAGGTTACCAGTATACTTAAGTTTATATATTGTGTAGTCAGATAAATCAGTTCATTTTCTTTCTTCCAGGTCACTGTCATACTTTATTTTATAGACTAAATGATTGTCCTTTCACTCTTAGCCATGTCTGGCACAGAGTATTTCATTATTGTCTCTCTGATTACACTACCAATGTTGAAAAATATCTTCCAAAGATAACAGAGCATTATCAAAGAAAAAAAAGGGGGGGGAAATCTTTTCATCTTGAAATAAGGACTCCATACATTATATCTTCCTTACCCTGCTTATTGAGCCAGTGATGATATCTCGTACTAAAATTGAGAAATTTTGAATGATTAATTTTTAGCCTTTTGAAAATAATGAGATATTGGTTTTAGCTTCAATGAGAGGTCCTTTTGTTTGTATTATGAACTATTTATGCTTTGAACTTAATTATCTGTTGTTAAGACCTCATAAGCAGACTCTGGGGCCTATGAAGACATATTTGCTCTGATTTGCTTTCAAAAATAAAAACACCATTGTGATTTTTGGGTTGTTGCTGACATTGGCCTGTGTTCTCAGAGCCGTCTCAATTGCAGCGAAAGGCTATAACACGAAAGGACAGTGAAACTCAAGATTAATAATGATAAAGTCTTTGTAATGACGGCAAATAAATGGCTAAATATCCAATCCGTCTTTACAGTTACGTACTGAGAATGAAGGAGCACGAGAGAGAGCGCCGGCTGCTGGAACGCGCCAAGAGGAAAGCTGCAAAGGCTGCGCGAGAAGAAGAGGAATAATAAATATCTATCTGGCATCCTGCACCTTTCATTTCACTCCAATAGGGAGAGGCATGTCAGGGGATGGACTTCTGTAAGGCCTTTTCATACTGCCCATTTCTTATCAATCCATCAGATAAAAAGATTGTAGTTTCACATGCAGGGAAACTTCCAGTCCGTGTAATATTTATCAACAGGAGTGTCAACTACCTCTGTATTTTGTGGCAGAGGCTTCAGATTTATACCTTGACCACTAAATTGGATTTTTTAAATAAATTATTATTCTATCTCTTGTTCTTTGGACTTTTCATGTTGTTGCTAACTTGTACTGTTCACTAAATCTTATGGTATTTATTTTTTTTTTTCCCCATACTAGAAGAGGTTCGGTACTTTACATTCTTGTATATAGGTTTATAAGAATTCAGAATAATAAATGTATATAGTTTACCTACTTGTCTCATTCAACAAACTACCTGGCAGATGAATTGAAGAGTTTTGTACACAGAAAATAGTTTATATAGAGATTAAAGTAACTGTAAGAGTCATAAGCTCATTTCTAATATGAAAAAGACATGGCCTTTACAGAAAGCTTTAACCCCTTGCCGCCGGGTGACGGCGATACGCGTGTAAACAAATCGCTCGAAAGGTGGCGTGCGGCCAAACCAGCCGGCGGCGCGCCAAAGCGCGGCGAGCCAGTGATTCGGGCTGACGCCCCGTACTCCTGCGCTCAAAGTCGGCGCGCTGCCTTTGTTTGCCAGAGCGTAGAGTTTTATTTTCCTTTAGTACACCCGGCGTCATTGGGTTAAAGGAAAGTATCCTCAAGGGTGAAAGAGGCAATAATGTTGCACAGTTGTGAATACAGTATTTCTTCTCACATATAATTTATTCAGATAAGCAATTAACCCAAACTTCCAGGAAAATGATGTGTTCACTGTAGTATTGTTTTGAGAAATGTCTTCACATAAATGGCTCTGCAAGTGCTTAGGCACAAAGGAGTTAATTAACCCATTGCCGCCAGGGAAAATGAATAGAAAATGGGGAAAATGCTGTGCTCATTTTTTATATTTTTGTGAAATGTGTCTGTACTTAGATGGCTCTGGTAGTGCTTAGCCACAAACGAGTCAATTAGTAGATCTTGTGACCTTAACTGATTTCACCTTTTCTTGAATTAACGGAAAAACATATTTTTTACTAGTGCTATGAATATCGATGGTATTATTTTTATTATAAACATCATAATTACTATGTTATGAACATTAGTAACAGCAAAGTAAGGGAGTCAAATGTTTTTGTAATTCAAAGAAAAGGGTGAACAGGCGAGACAGGCAGTACTCGTAATTGGCTCACTGGTGACATAGTACAAATGTAGCCGTCTATGTGTAAAAACAATTGAACAAGTTAACTCACAGTAGGCATAGCATGTACATACACACCATGCTCATCGCCAATGGGTTAATCTATCTTGTGACCTCACCATATTTCACCACTCCTTGAGTTTGTAGAATTTTTCCTTTTCTTTAATAATGCTATCAGTATCACAATTTTATTTTTATTAGACATTATAGTTATTAGTTTTATTGACATTACAGAGCCATCTGTGTAAAAACAATTGATAAATCAAACTCGTAGTAGGTATGGTATGTATGTACATGCCATCATCCCTGGCAACCTCAGGTTAATAATGCAACTACTCTTATATAGTAACAGCAATAATAAAAGACGGCTTTTTAGAGATATTTGATTCAATTTTTTCTCTTCTCTCTTTCACGTACTTCAGTTTTTCCTCCTAGAATTATTTGATAAAGGTAAAATTTTATAGAATCCTGTCACAAAGATGTATTTTAGAGCATTGAAAATATAATAATAAAGGATTTGAATCCCTAGATTAATCTTAACCCATTGCTGCCGGGGAAAATGAACAAGAAATGGGGGAAATGCAGTACTCATTTTTTATATTTTTGTGAAATATCTCTGTCCATAGATGGCTCTGCTAGTCCTGATTTCACCTTTCCTTGAATTGGCGGGAAAAATCGTTTTTTTACTAGTGCTATAAATATAGATCGTGTTATTTTTAACAGCAAATTAGGATAACGTTAAATATTTTCGGAAATCGATGAAAAGGGTGAACGGGCGAGACAGGCAGTACTCGTAATTGGCTCATTGGTGACTTAGTACAAGTGTAGCCAGCTATGTGTAAAAACAATCGAACAAGTCGACTCACAGTGGGCATGGCATGTATGTACATGCCATCCCCGGCGGCAATGGGTTAAATGTGACTGAACTTGCTGTATCTCTTTCACTGGAAATTAAATTATCTATTGTTATAAAATTATTCCTCAAATGATTATTGGGTCTTTGGGGGAAGAATACAGCCCATACTTTACAAAAAAAAATTTATTTACACAATACCCTATGTTATCTACAAAAATACTATACATTCCCCTAATGAATTACGAAACAGGATATATGAAAGCACTTTCTTTGAGCTGCAGAAGAACTTGCAAATCCAAAATCCAGGCATTTTAAGCTGCTCTTATTAAACTTGAGTATAAATTTCTCCCAATATTGATTTGTGTGACTAGATCAGTTGCTCTGTTGATTTCATATATCTCATCACTAAGGCTTTTTTAAATTTTGCAAACCTGCTTTCAAATTCACTCTCTAAATATTTGTACCATAGATTCTTATTTTTTTAGGGATAAAATAAGACCTTGCTTAGCTGAACTTTTTTGACACTCATTTACAAAACTAAAGAACTATGGAAAAAATGTGGAAAAACAGGACCAATTTTAAAACATGTGGTTGTTATTTTGACTGGCAGTGAACATCATTGTGCTAAAAATATCAGAAATGCATATATTTTGTATTTCTAGTGTGTCCCATCAATTTGTTACCAAAACATATGAAACACCTAAACATTACAGAAGTATTTTATCTGTTGTTGGGAGAAAGGGAAAACTCTTTTGTACATAATGCTTTTGGACCACTACTTTAAATTTGAATCTGTAGCTTATTTATAGTAACTAATAAATTCTTCATATGAAATATGCTTTCTCTGTTTCCATACAAAAAATATAGAACTAGAAAAAAAAAATCACAGCTACACAAAAATAATATATTCTACCCTCATAACTTACAAACAAAACTATGTCATTCTTAAAGACAACATGAATTTAGGTGCTAATCATACCAAACCATAAACATATTTTACTGTACATTTCACACTCATGTTCACATTTTCATTAGGTTCAGAAAATGTCATTGTTCAAATTATGACATTTTAAGATAATGCCAAAAACAGACAAACTTATTTTCTTACATTTAGATATGGTTACCATTTGCTATAATGTATTTATCCTTTTTTAAAAATACAGTAAGTACATTAAATTTAGCCAGATACGATACATTACAAGATTAATTAAACATTTTATGAAAATGCCCGAGAGGTCAATTTGATCCTAATTCAGAATAATGAACAGCACAAAATGTCACGAATTTCTATTCTCAAAACATTGTTGCTATAAGTTTAGGACTCTTTACATTCTGAATACACCAAAGTCCGTTTTGGGGATGGGAGCATTCAAGGAGGCAGACAAGGACAGGCCTAGAACGTGTCTTGTTTCCACAGGATCGATCACTCCATCATCCCAGAGACTGAAAAACATAAGAAAATCAAATAATAAAATTATTTACAAAAAAAAAAAATTATTTAATCTTTCTCCACAAAAAATGTATCATCTACATTATTTCTTAACTATATATTTTTTATACATTTTTTCAACCATGAAAAAAAAAAATCAATGAACAAATGAAAAGAAAAGAAAAAATTAACCACCTACCGAGCACTGGAGAAGTATGGAGATCCCTCAGCCTCGAAACGTTTGATAATAGGAGCCTTGAGTGCCTGCTCCTCTTGCTCAGTCCACTGAAATAAAATAAAATGAAGGTTAATTAACAACAAGAAAACTTTTGAGAGCTTTTAGGCATTCTTTTTTTTTACTCTTAACTACTACTACCTTTTTTTCCAATATTAGATTGTATATTATGTTGGATGATAACAATTGTAAATAAATTGTTTTTTGGTGTATCTGATATGTTTATACATATTTACTTCTTTATGCACACCAAAAATCAGTCATATGCATGTAAGATGCATCAAAAGTTTTTATTGATTACTTGAGTCTTTCTTTCTTTCTTTCTCGTCTTTTTTTTTTGTCTTTGGACTCCCAAAATTGCGATTCCAAGGTATATTTTGCCAAAAACAATTGATAAATTCCCTTCATAAACAAAACTAACAAATTGCTTACTGTATACCTAAGGACAAAAATATTTTTCATCTTACATTTTTCCCATAACATCCCTAAAATGCAAATACCAACATAAGTATCTGCACCGAAGACCTACCTCCTTGCCCTCCCGACGTCTCTGTTCCCTCGTGATCTGTGCCAAGACGCCCGCTGCCTGCTCTCCCCCCATCACACTGATGCGGCTGTTGGGCCACATGTACATGAAGCGTGGCCTGTGGAGCGGAGAGAAAACTTGTCTAATATCTTCTATTGTTATCATTATGTTATTCTTTTTATCTTAAGATGTATGAGTGTCTAACATCCATTTCAAATCTTAAAAATATATACAAGACTATCATAAACTTATTTTGCAATCAACCAAATGAGAAAATATAGAACCAATCTAATATCTATGCCAAACTGAAAAGTATATATACCCAGGAGTACGCATATAAAACAGCTTATCCCAAAATAAAACTATAATCACCCAGGAGAAAACAGAAGAAACATAAGATATATGATTAAACTCACCCATAGGCTCTGCCGCACATGCCATAGTTACCAGCCCCATAGGAACCTCCAACAACAACAGTGAATTTGGGGACCTTTGCACAGGCCACAGCTGTGACCATCTTGGCTCCATTTTTAGCGATGCCTCCAGCCTCCGCATCTCGGCCAACCATGAAGCCTTGACAATGCATACAAGTCAGAATGAAGAATATATATGACATACTAGCAAACTTGCATGTAGACATTGAAAACTATCAAATAAACAGGATTGATCTTTGGTGAGAAATTTGTGAGAAAAGAATCACGACTCAAAGCTGAACAATAATACATTCAACCAATTGTCTACATTTTCATTCATGTAAATAAATGAATATGTACTTAAATACATGAGGCATTAAAAGCAAAAATCTCTTTATGCTAACACACAAGAACTGCAGATAACCCATTCCCACCAAACTTTGCATACCAGTAATGTTTTGCAAGAAGATCAGGGGTATTTTTCTCTGGCAGCAAAGCTCAATGAAGTGAGTGCCCTTCACTGCAGACTCGGAGAACAGGACACCATTATTGCCGATGATGCCCACAGGATACCCATACAGGCGAGCAAAACCACAGATTAGTGTGTCACCATAGCGAGCCTGGAATGAACATACAAGTAAATAATCATATAAATAAATATCAGAAAAAGACATGGAATAATCATAATATAGTAAGTCCCCAACTTAAGAACATAATGGGGACGGAGAGGCTGTTTGTAAGTTGATTTGTTTGTATGTCGAAAGTCGGGTCTCCATTACCTTTTTTCCCGTTGTTTTAAAGTTTTGTTTACATTAAGAATACCTGTAAATAAATCCCAATAAGTACGCCATACCTTATACAGTACCAGACTATATTCGCGCCCGGGAAATTTGAAGTTTGCTAGTATCTTTCAAACAATTTTTTGGACTTTAATACTTAAAAATTTTGTTTGTATGTGTAGAATGTTCATAAGTAGCATGTTCTTAAGTAGGGGACTATCTGTACAACAAACTACATAAACAATAAAACATAAAAATATAGAAACAACAGCAACGCCATTAGTTCAGCTCTAATAACCTTACCTTGAACTCGTCGAACTCTGATCCATCCACCACACGTGCAATGACCTCCCGGACATCATAAGTCTTCTTGAGGTTGTCGCCCACAATGCCATAGAGGTCATGGGGGTCAAAGATGGGCTCCTTCACGTCACGCAGAGATACCTGAAAGTGGGGTTCGGCACTTTTGTCACTGACTAGGTGATGGAGAGGGGAAAAATGTTTACTGGAAAATAAGTAAACCTGAATGACAAAGCCAATTTATATACCTTATTCAGTCAAAAAGGATTGTTTTTTAATGATTGAGAAAACCATTTCGAGATTTCTCTGAATTCAGATGAAAATTCATCATTAACCCTTTACTGCCATGCCACACCTATAGATGTCAGAAATCGCCGGAGTCAGTGAGATTGAGAGATTTCTAATACCCTCATCTAAGGATTAAATGTTCTGAAAGCCAGGTCATGCCTATTCTTGGTAGTAATCTATTTTTTCTGCATATGGCAACAAAGCTAATACTGTATTCTATCAATACTCTAATATGTTATAGAAGCCTGTATATTTTTTTTGTCTTTTTTTATAAAAAAAAATCTAAAGCCATTTTATTCCTGTGAAAATAAAAAAGAAATTAAATTTTTGTAATAAAGGAAGTAAATATGCTCCAAGAATCATTCAAAGAAAGGAAGAAACAAAGCTATGTAACTTTTTAATGAATAATTAACTTTACAAAATGAAACACAAAAACAATATACAAGGACATTATATCTTAGTATTCTATTTTTGTGGCTTTATGTTTGTACACCTTTTACCTTTTTGTTGTCAAAAATATGCTCCATGAACTATATCTGTGTCTTACCTGAGGAACTTTGGTGCGGTTAAGGGTCCTCACTACCCGCCGAGCCAAATGCAGGGCGTGTGTGTCGTCTAAGGCATAGTGGTCTGTCACCCCTGATTTCCTGGAGGACAAAGTGCATAAATGAATTATCATATTTGGCAAACTGCATGAACACCTTGAACAACCACAAAAAGGTATATTAAGCTAGATTCTCAATTCCTCACAATTCCTGCAAATACAGTAAGTCCCCAACTTGAGAACATAATGGGGACGGAGAGGCTGTTTGTACGTTGATTTGTTTGTATGTTGAAAGTCGGGTCTCCATTACCTTTTTTCCCATTGTTTTAAAGTTTTGTTTACATTAAGAATACCTGTAAATAAATCCCAATAAGTATGACATACCTTATACAGTACCAGACTCTTGAACTATATACATGCCCAGGAAATTTGAAGTTTGCTAGCATCTTTCAAACAATTTTTTGGACTTAGTACTTAAAATATTTTGTTTGTATGTATGGAATGTTCATAAGTAGAATGTTCTTAAGTAGGGGACTATCCGTATATGATAACATTCAGTGCGCATATATTCATGAGACACGTTTTCCAACCACCAGTCTCCCTTGTCCCCTTGACGCACCCACAATGGAGATCCGCTCCTCCAAGGTCCTCAGCCGAAATCTCCTCTCCTGTGGCTGCCTTGACAAGAGGAGGGCCCCCTAGGAAAATGGTTCCCTGCCGACGCACGATGATCGACTCATCAGCCATTGCAGGCACATAGGCTCCTCCTGCTGTGCAAGACCCAAGAACAACAGCAATCTGCAATTGGGAAAGAGGGCTATAGAATGGCTAATGCTCACTTTAATTCATGCATCAAACAACTGCACAGACAATATTTTGCTGTTTATATTCTGTATATACCTATAGTATATCTATAAATTATGTTAACCTTTCAATTTAAAGTTATTATGCAGCTATGAAAATTCCAATTTGACATATAACAATAGTAGTAATCATTAATATGCCTTTGTATTAATGATAATCATTTTTAATGCTTTTATTATTGATATCCTTTTCTTTAATTTTCTAAATACTATATCTTTACCTTTCTGGACTTTATGGATCGCAAAATCAATATATGTATTTAGATTTCATAACAACTCCTACTTAACACCAAGCATTATTACTTAATATATAACCCCAAAACCTATCAAAAATCCACCCAAATCTTTGATTCATCAATATAAACCAATAAAGACCTCTGCAAAAACTGTTAAAAAAAAAAATAAGAAGAAAGATATCCACAAGCCTTTCAAAGCAGCAACCACACTAACCTGTGCAATCCCTTTGGAAGACATGTTGGCCTGGTTGAAGAAGATTTTACCAAAGTGGTCGCGGTCAGGGAAGACATCTGCTTGGCGAGGGAGGTTTGCACCGCCAGAGTCCACCAGGTAGACACATGGCAAGTTGTTCTCCTGTGCGACCTCCTGGGCTCGTAGATGCTTCTTGACTGTGATGGGATAGTAGCTCCCTCCCTTCACTGTGGCATCATTGCCCACAATCATGCACTCAACCCTGGGAAGGAGGAGAAGGGTAGGGAAGCCTTGAAAAATATAATTCTTTAAGTGGTGAAAGACACTTAATAGTGAACTATTAAAAAAGAGGGAAGCTATAAAAGAAAAGTTACAGGGAAAAGTGACTTATTATTCCTATTAACAAAATATCAATTTTCAAGTGCACCTTCATAAAAACAACATTGTGTCATAATTTTAATGCATAACACATACCAAAAATAGTTATACTTGATGGTATATTAATCATTACAATAATAACACCAGGTGCCGCAGACCTTAGTGACAATTCCTCCCAACCCTCGACTCACCCTGATACTTTGCCGATGCCAGTGATGATGCCTCCAGCCGGTACCTCCTCCTTGCCATACAACTGATATCCCGCCAACTGTGACAGCTCCAGAAATGGGGTCCCAGGGTCAATCAAGTTGCCGATCCTCTCTCGCACCAAGAGCTTCCCTGAGGTGCAACATTCATGTTTAATGGTATGAGCACAGGAAATATAAATACAAATAAATATAGAACTATATATGTATTTGTATACATATGTATATGTATATATATATATACATGTGTATATATGTGTATGATATGTATATGTGTCTAATATATATATATATATATATATATATATATATATATATATATATATATATATATATATATATATATATATATATATATATACATATATACATATATACATATATACATATATACAGATATACAGATATACAGATATACAGATATACAGATATACAGATATACAGATATACAGATATACAGATATACAGATATACAGATATACAGATATACAGATATACAGATATACAGATATACAGATATACAGATATATAGATATATAGATATATAGATATAGATAGATATAGATAGATATAGATAGATATAGATAGATATAGATAGATATAGATAGATATAGATAGATATAGATAGATAGATAGATAGATAGATAGATAGATAGATAGATAGATAGATAGATAGATAGATAGATAGATATATAGATATATAGATATATAGATATATAGATATATAGATATATAGATATATAGATAGATATATATATATATATATATATATATATATATATATATATATGTGTATACATATGTATGTGTACATATACATATACATATATACATATATATACTGAACCATGAAAAAAAATTACTTAAAAAATTTAAGACTCAAACACAAACAAGTAATAATATTAAGTTTCTTTAACCCATTCACGCCGGGTGTCCCATATATGTGACAGGCCCACTGTGAGTTTACTTGTTTAATTATTTTTACACATAGATGGCTGCACTTGTACTTGTACTGCCTGTCTCGCCTGTTTACCCTTTTCTTTAATTTACGAAAATATTATACTTTATCTTACTTTGCTGTTACTAACATTATAGTAATTATAATGTTTATAATAAAAATAACCATCGATATTCATTGTACTAGTAAAAATACATTTTCCCGCCAAATGAAATCAGGTAAGGCAGAGCCATCTAGTGTAGAAAAATTTCATAAAAAGTATAAGAAATGAGCACAGAATTTTCCCCCGTTTTTTGTTCATTTTTACCCGGCGCGAATGGGTTAACCTTCCCTTCCACACTTGCTCACCTTTGCTCTTGTGCCTCTGGATGGCCTTTTCCCCACCACCAAGTGAAATATGGTGGATACGTCCTCGGAGTTCATCCACCAGAGCTGTCATCCGGGTCTCATTTTCCTAGAGGTTAGAAGAGTCTTGCATCAGTTTCAACTCTGCATCACATTCTACTTTGGGAAATGACATTTTACTCAGTGTCTTGGCGGTGCCTAATTTATGGTCTGTTACTGAGCTTAATGAAAATAAAATTAAATAATAGCACAAAAAATTTTTCATTAAAAATAAAATTAATTCTGTCATCGACATTAATCATAACTACAGAGGGGACCATTTATTAACTGTTCAAATCATTATAGACAATATTATACAATGCATAAAACTGAATATTAATTTAAAATATTGGTCAAGGTAACCACTCCATACACTTATTTTACTGTACGATTGGTTGACAGATACGTAAAGTTTTCCAAATATTGTCCCCATTATCACATCATAACTGAATAGGACAAAAAAAAAAAAAAATCAACTTGAAAAAGTAAATAGCTAGTTGAGAAACAAAGTCTGAACATAAATTCTAAAATCAACGCTGGCTGCCAGCCAAACTACATGAAAATCTAGTCAAAGTAATTCACATTAAGCTTTAAAATAGGTGTCAGCTGATATATATCACAATAAATACATCATTTCAATCTTTGAAATACACTTCGCTTCTGATTATAACGTCTCTTTAATAAAATAAGCTTTTTACCATGATAAGGTGCCCGAGGGGGATTCCAGACAACAAAAACGCAAAACTATTTCCACTCCCAGCAAACGAATTACTTCTAGACCATAAAGACAAACCAACACAAACAAAAAACACAATCGCAGATCTTACGGGCATAGAAACAAACCAGACACACTTAGAGAAAACAAAAAAAAAACAAAGAACGAAAAGAAAAAAATACCCTAATCTCAGGCCCCTTGAACGTCGGCTGCTGATAAAACGCTTTCCTCGAAAAATTAACCACAAATAACGACCAACCTTAAATTCCGGCGACGACCTGTCTGGTTCCGAACCAACGATGTTCGCCGTGTCATTGTGGTAATCTCTCTGTCCTTTGTAACAGCGACTGAGACTCGGATAAAAGCGACAAAATCGTCTACTCAACATCTTTTTCGGGACTCAGTCGGTTCCTCTGCTGGACGGCGGTTCTCGAGCTTTTTCACGGAAGACGCGAGAGCCCGGGCTCGGTTTCCCTTGAGGTCGGGCAGTTACTCCTTACAGTAGGATTTTATTATTAGGACTGATGTTTTTCTTATTGGTATTTTGATTACTCTTCTTACCACTATTATTGTCGTCACTGTTAGTATTATTATTGTTATCCTTTTATTGTTATTCTTTATTATTATCATTATTTATCATCATTATTATTATAATTATTATAATAATTATTATTATTTACTATTATCATTATCGTTATTATCATTATCCTTATCCTTATTATTATTATTATTATTATTATTATTATTATTATTATTATTATCATTATTTTTTCTATTATTATTATCATTAATATTTTCACTAATATTATTGTCAGTATTATTATCATTATTATCAATATTATTATTATTGATATTATCATAGTTACTATTACTATTATTATTTCATTATCATTTATAATATTATTATTTCATTATCATTTATATTATTATTGCTATTCTTAATATAATTATTATTGTTATTATTACCATTATCATCATTATTTATTGCTATTATCATTATCATTATCATCATTATCATTAATATTATTGTTGTTATTATTATCATTATTATTATAATCATCATTATTAGAAGTAATAGTAATAGTAGTAGTAGAATCGTCATATTCATTTTCATCATTATTCTTACTTTTGTTAAAGTTACTGTTTTTACTACCGTCATTTTAATATAATTACACATCCACATATATATATATCATATAATCAATATTATCACTTACAGATATAGCTTTCTAGTTTATAGCCAATGTTATTACCTTATAATTATTGTCATAATCACCATCAATATCATTAACACCTTCCCTATTATTATTATTATCAGTATTACTATCATTTTTTTATTTCATAATAATCATTATTATTGCGATTATCATTATCTTTATTAGTATGACAATCATTATTATTGTAGTTATTATTATTATTATCATAATCATTATTACCATTAGTAGTAGTAGTAGTAGTAGTAGTAGTAGAAGTAGTATCATTGCTATTATCGTCATTATTATTATCATGATTACTATCACTATTATTACTATTATTAATATCATCAGCATCATTGTTATTATCATCATGACTGTTATCACAGTTATTATTGTCAATATCATTATTACTATTCGGTCTGACACTCTTTGCTTGACATATCTTTCATAATTTATATTACTGGTTCTAAAGCTCCCACACTAATTGACAATATCAACATCTTTATTTTCCAAATTCTACATATTTCATATTTCAGCCTGTTGTAAACCCCGTCTTTCTCGTCTTCCTTCTTTGCTATTCAGAATTCAATCGGACAAGCCACATATATCTCCAAACGGGTTTTCTTCACATTACGAACCACAGTTACGCTTGGCTTGTTATGTCCCATCACTTTATAGGAAAGTCCCATCTCCGACTCCACTGCCTTTTCTGTCTTGTGTTCATACAGTGTCTTCATAAAATTTCTATTATTATCTTTGCTACCTCGTCTTGCTGCCAAACTTTAAATCAGGTTGCTGCTAGCCTAGAACATTCACTCACAATATGTGTTTTTGTTTCGTCAAATTCCTTACGCATTCGATAGAACGGTGATATTTATTCATTTCTCATATACAGACGCAAAAAACACCTGAATATATCTTCAAATTTCCTTCCCCACCTGCACTATTTCCCTATTTCCTCAGCTATGTTTGTGGAATAGTTTGTTTTCTCTGTTGATTACTTCTGCATGCTTCTCCTGTCCTTCGAGTTTGTCCCTCCCTCCTTCCCCATCCTTCAATGCCCCTTTCTTACGTGCTGCCGCCAATATGTTATCTTCACTTCATGACATGCATCTTAACATATATTTTTGCTCAGTTCTCACACAATCCACTGCTCCTCCCTTTTCCCTTCTCAAATGCAATCAATTTACATCGACGTGAGGGCAGTGAGCTCCATATATTCCTTCAGTTCACTTTCTATCTCTTTCTGTAACATTTAACTGATTAGCATCATCGTAATTACAAAGAGAAGTGGCAAGCTATCGTCCCTGAAAGAAATCCTCTTCTATTCTTTACACTTAGGCTATTTGTTATGCCTTTGGATAGGTGTTCCAATTTCTTACACTACTGAATAACAGATTTCTCATGTCTTCACCTATAAAACACATTTTCAAACGTCTATCTTATCTAAGTGTGCGGTACCATGCTGAATGCTTTCTGATAATCCATCCCAGCCATAATTTTATGTGTCTTCTTTTAGATTCTCATTATCATCTCGTCAATCAGTAATTTACCCTTTGTTCCTCTATTTTCCTTTCTACAACTCTTTTATCGGCTGGTAACAAATTCTTTTCCAAGAAATCACGCAGATCCTATGTTAAAATTCCTGTCAGCAATTTCCACACGTGATAGGTCGTGGGTTTGATATAACGTTGTTTTTTTCCCACTTCCTTTACACAGAACAA